GTGTGTGAATGGACGAGCCACGGGATAAACCAGACAGGAGAAATTACTGCCAGAGTTATTAGGAAGATGGAAATATGCTTTCCCCTGTACAACTGTTCTCACCTTAACTTTAAATTGTGGTCTAGAGAGGACCTTGAATGTATAAAAGGACATTAAAAATACAAGTCCATTTCTAATGATATAGAACATGTGCTGCAACACAGGAGCAGAAAGGAAATAGGGCATTAAATCTCTGTATGCTATCATACCATCAATTTTTCAGCAGATTTAGAAAAATGATGTAATACACTAAACATTATTTTTTAAATTGGGGTTTTTTTCCACAAAATGTGTTTTGGGGCATTGACAGTCAAGGGTCACTTTCAGAACAAATTTAACATTTGAGATTTTCACAAAAAGTTATTAAACTTAATCTTAACACACTAATATAATATCCAAAGGGGGATTGGATTTCACACTTCAAAAAGAGCACAACTGAACTGAGCGTTCTCATCCTCTGCTAAAAACCAAACGTCAGTGACTCATCAAGCAGCATACGCTTTGACACAGTAGGATCACCAGCTCTCCAGTCCAAGCATAAAAATTAAAACTTTATGAAGCATGAAGTCATTTTGTTGGCCGTTTTTCCCTTGACTCAGGAAATATTTGTGAATGTTGTGAATCTGCCATTTTATGATTTGGGATTTTTACAATTTCTTTTTCCTCTTTTTGCAAGGGGGGCAGAGAGAGGAAGAGAATGTGAATGGCAGGAAATGGAAGACTTGTGAATTATGACTTATGTGCATTTTCCAGAGTGATATATTTAATCTTACCAACTTTGTGATTGCAGTGTTTTAACATATATATATGCGTAAGACAGCACAGAAGAATGTTACAATCTTGTAGTAAGACTGTTATAAACAAATGTTTGGGGTTTTGCAGTAATCTTATTGAGCAGATTTTCAGTAATGGAAGAAATACAGTTGCACGGGCTCAGTTACTGGCATAAATCATTCTCTAATTTGTTGATAGAGGGGTTAGGGAGAGAGGATAAATTTCTTTCAAAGTGCAAAGCAACATACAATTTGACCATTAAGTTCCCAAACGATGTGAGTCAACATTTTTTTAAAAGATTGTATCTATGGTGCTCTTCCAAGCATTGTTAGTATAAATTCTAACTGCGTAATTGGTAAGAAGCACAGCTGAGGTCAGTAGAAGTATCTGCTGACTCAAAAGTATTAAATCAAGTCTTTGTGTGCTAAGTGGTAACATCCAGAAATTGCTGTTAGAAATAAGATCCTCATTTTAGCAAACAGTGTATGCTGTTTGCATACAGAACTATACATATATATGTGTGTGTGTGTATACTGATGCATTTTTTGGACAGCTAATAAAGTTACACACAAAGAGTAACTGAGTTTTATGGGTGAATTCTGTAAATGTAAGTTAGGATTCTGCTGAATACCCTTTGGCTGCTCAACAGCTTCTGGCTTCAGCTGCCAGAAAAATAAGCTAAGTAGACTATTTTTTTTGGTTGATAGGACAAGGTTTTCTTCAAATCAATGAGGTTTCAAGTAGATTTCAAATCAATGATATTTGAAGTCCACAGCAATGATCAAAACACAGTAATGGGGAGGATGACGGCACGGGGGGGGGACAGGGACACACCCAAACAACAAAACCCCACAGCCTTCAAGGCACTGTGAGGGAAGAGGAAATAGGGATGTTTTGACTTATTCTCCTCCTCCTAATTCCTGTAGATACATGCAAGTCAGTATGACATCCAGTTTTATTTGCTAGAGCATCTAAACGTGGATCAGACCACGCATGTGCTGGAGACATACAAAGCTGGAAGGAAAAACCAGTGCAGTATCTCAGATTTCTTTACACTTTCTATTGGTAGGAACTTGAGGTGGGAGAGAAATCTTGGACACTGAACTGCTCGGATACATACTAAGGAAGTCTTTAAATGATGCCGGCTTTAGCATTGTTAATTCATTATTAGACTGCTTCTAGTAGCCTAGTCACGTTCCAAACTTTAGACTCCTGTTAAGGTCAAACTTTCAAACACTTCATTTTAATCTCAGATGAAGAACATACCCTTATATAGCTTTAAAAAATGTTACTGGGATAATTAAATAAGACTGGCATCATAGAACAATTCATGAATTGCCAATACATGGCAAAGCTGTGTCACCTGCATTTACAGCATCAAGTGAGCTCTGTTCTCATATTTAATGGAATATCATGTGTTCACTTTCCTCATGAGTAAAGATATGGAGTATTAATCAGACTAAATGTAACATCAACCTTTTTGATATATTATCACAGCTTTATGAAAGCTGATTATCAATGAAATGGACTAGGATCCACGTAGATAATAAATTCTGGGTCAGTTCAGAATGACAGTACTGCAACAATGCAAAGTATGATTCATATATGTCAACAAATAGACTAGTATTTTATTTTCTATCTAGGGTAGGAAGTTGAAAACAGGCCATCATGTGATTACTAGAGCCTGTACTTTTCTCTGGAAAACTTGTTACGACATGCAACTGCCAAGAGACTAAACCGAATCCAGGGCTTTCAGAGATACCAGGGAGAACACTTTTTTTCCTACAGACTATATAGCTTTTACAGTTGCTATATTAATCTTGTACCCTAGGTTATCATGGGTACCACCTAGATACACCATGTGAGTACAATCTCCTTACTTTTCAGGTAGCGTTTATTTACAAGTTATCCTGTAACAAAGAGCTGAAGCAGGAACGGAGGGAACTGGAATGACAGAAGCACCCTTCTCAGACCCACCTTGATCAACTGTGTCAAAAAGGTTCTTGTCTTATTATGCAGAAAGCTCAAAAACATTCAATAGTTCTCTTGTTGCATTCACAAGCTGAGAAATGAGGTTGGTTTCACTTTGCAGTTTAATTAACCACAGAAACTTCCAAGTAGTTGATTCCAGTTTTTTGTGAAGATGGTTCTGCCAAGCCAAACATCTAATCTGCTCTAGCTGAACTCTGAACAATCTTGTGTATCGGCAAGGCTTACCTGGTGAAGGGAAAGAAGTAACCCTTCTTTTTTGGAAATTTAATCTTACTTTTGTCTTACTGAGTTATGTAATTTGATTAAAAAAAACAACATTGAACTGTATTTAACTGTGAAAAGTACTGTCCAGATTTCAAGTCCTGGACACTATGTTTCATGGACTGTTTGTTTAACGAGGCATGCATCTGAATGGTTAAATCAATATTACTTTCATAGCCCAATGCTTCATAAGCTTATGTTTCATTACAGATTGTACACGTGCCGAATTCTTGTCTAATGACCATGTAACAGGGCACATTCAATTATTCTCTTTGGGTTTTAGAAAGAAACAGGAAGTTTGGCTATAAACAATGCAGTCATAGAATAAATTTCACCACAGCAAGTTCATCTGAAAAATATGCATTCTTTAGAACACAGCCAGGAATGGCATTATGAGAACCAACATCCTGCTGCACTCAGGTTTGGTGGGGGTTTTTTTGCTTTGTTTTGTTGGGGTTTTTAATTTTTTTTTAAATTATTGATACTTAGGCATTGTAAGATAAAAAACTTTTAGTTAATACTGGATGTTTTGTGATGAGCATTACTTGGAAGTTGTGGATAGTGAATCAAAAACAGCTGCTAGCAACCACAGGATAAGTAACAAGTTTGCTAAATTTAGTATATGTTATGAAATACATAGTGTGGAGGAACAGTCAGCCATTGTAAATTTTTATCAGCTGGGAAAGAATGACTATAGAATATTTCACTCTTTACTTATAAAATATGGAAAGATGACAGACATTAGAGAATGACAACATTTTTGACAGGAAGATGTCAGTTGATCTACACTAAGTTTTAAGACTGAAATACATCTAATTTTGTTACATTTCTGCTTTTAACTCCTTTTAATAATCTACAAAAATGTACTACTACTAAACTGTAGGTGGATAAAATAAGAACAGCTATTATTCTCTGGCTTCCAGTTGTGCCTAGAAAAGCACTACACTACATCTTTTAATTATTCTACAAATAGGGTAACATTTTAACTCTAGTGTTAAACAGAGTACACTTGGATTATTAAAATTTTCTGAAATTATTTTTCTGAAAATATTATTCAATAATGTTACAGTTCTTCACTAAAAGAGAAAAATTTACTTAGCCATCTATTTAATTTTAACTAACTTTAATATACATAATCCCAAGGTTTTACTTATTTTTTTAATTTTCATGTGGAGAAGAAAATATTTCAAAACATAACAATGACAGTCCACAATTACAGATTGGACTAGGTTTTCCCTAGGTTCTAGCTTCTAAAGATTCCAAGTATTATGTCATAGCAGAGATTTTGTGAAGTACTTTTCATCAAATGGGAAACAAAATATCTATTTTTGAAAGACTGAGGTTGCCCAAAAAAAATTAAATACAAGTTTAAAAACAAACACTGCCAAGTAGCTGACACCCAAAATCTGACCTACCTAAACAGTGAAGAATTATTCTATCAGTTTTAAAATCTTGCCATTTACACCCACACAAATACTGACAATGAATGCCCTTACAGAATACTTATGTATATTACAGCATACTTGTACACTTTTGTCCTGTGCTGGCCTGATACAGCTGGCCAGCAGAGGGAGCAGAAGTTAATAAACCTTTTTTCCTAGAACAAAGATGAGAATCATTCATGCTATGTCAGACATGGAAGTAAATGAAAGGAACACCATCTTGGCTGTCTCATTAAGAAAGCATGTGGTGGAGATAAAGAAATTCTGTGAAGTGTTTTTGGTTGATTTTTTTTTCCAAAAGCAGATAAAACAAACACAAACAAGTACATCGAGCTTACCTTTGCGCAAAAATACATGCATTTCTGTATGACAGAAAAATACATCCTTACCAGGAACAGCAAAATATTTTACTAAAGTTGTCCACTATGACATTAATCTATTGTTTCTAGACACTTTTTTCTGCATTTTTGCTATTTATTGCAAAATTTTTACCTGCAGGTTAATCTCTGCTTCATAGAAAGTTAAGCAGGAACAGTAGTGCCTCTCTGAGTCTATATCAGTCAAAACCACCACAAAGAACGTTGGCTGTTTTCTCTCTTTTGAAAGCTGCCATCCTCCAGGCTGGCAAAACTAATGAAACAAAAAAAAAGAGAGATATATAATTAAGCAGTAATATCAACTGTTTTAAGAAATATGAAAAAAAATTTTAAACAATATAACAGAACATTATCTGAAACAAGAAGGTCGTTTCATTTAAAGTGAACATATGCAAGGTGTAAAATTTGGAGAAATGGGGGAAATCCAATAGGTCTTGGTCAGGCTGATATATATAAAGCTCTATTGACATGAAGGGAGATAGAATAAACTCTACAAATTGAAGATGTGTTCCTTTGAATTCAGTATTGAAGATCATCTTCACAGGGTTTAACAGGCAACAATGGGAATAAATTGTCACAGTATGCAGGCTTCATTTGGATAACAGGTTAGAATTTGAAGCTAAAATTGTTGTGTCTTGGACTGTCTCTACATTTTTAATTTCCCCACTTTTTTCTCCATTAATTTATCTAATCAAACATAGATATTGCACTTACGCCTACTTGCAAAGTTATTCAATACTTACTCCCACAAAAGACTATTTATAGAGCAATATTTTTCATCCATTTATTGATGCCCTCTATAAACTTAACTGTGAACACTTAAAATTTTATAAAAGGTCATAGCATAACAGGGATATGAGTTTTGCCACCCATGTGAAAAATATGTTCAAGTTTCATGACCTCGTAAGTCCTGGGTCAAAGAAAATCACTTGCTTCTCAGAGTCAAAGAGGCTGCAGTTCTCCAAATACTTCATATGTACTTAGGATACTACATGTTTCCAAGCTCTTGCAGCAATGAGCTGACTAAATATGGGGAATACTTAAAACACACGTCAAATAAGCCGAAGCCCTTTCAGTATTTGCTCCTTCAAGCTGACCAGGGCCATGGCAGTGCAAGTCATCAGAACCGAAGGCAGCAATTCTGACCTCAGAACGGAGATGCCCAAGTAGCATGAACAAAAAGAGAACTACAGCTCAAAGGCAAAGGAAGAAGTGTATAGTTTTTCTTTTTTAAATTACTGGAGCACAACATCGGTTAATAACTTGTTCCCAGTAATGGAAAAGTGTGCTGAAATGCAGAAATCAGTTTGCTGGAGATTCTTGAGATGGCCTTTCTGGAATTTTGTATTCACTGTTTCTTTTACTTAAGGCTGAAGTCACATACACAAAAAATTCACAAGTACATTACTATTATAGCCCCTGTATGGTTGGGGGAGGGGGACACGGGACGGGACACAGACCACAAAAAAAAAAAAAAAAAAGAGCCACCAAAAAAACCTCCCAAAACCACAAAACAACCACCACTACATCATATTTCTAGAATTGTTAAACAGTGCAGGTAACAAAGGAACCAGAGAGATAGGTCAAAATCCCATGTTTCCAGCAATTGCTTCTTTCCCCTGGATGGCTGCTAAAAACCAAAAAAGCTTGAAGGGTAAGTTCTAAACAAACATTTCCTACAGATTCATCTTCAGAACCTCTACAATAAAACCTGGGTAGTCTTAGGTGAACAGCAGTTAAAACTCTGCCTCTGATATACAGTTTATTTTATGATCCTGGGAAAATCTTCAAAACCAAAGTTTTCTCATGTTACATTCTTCATATTCCAGATAGTCAGCTTAACACTTCTGAGTCTGTATCCTTAGAAGTGCTAAGCACCTCCTCCTGCATCTGAGAGTAACTGTTCTGAACATCAAAAAGTACCCTGAGAAAAGACATCCTAGTCATTCCAAGCTAAGCATCTTTTATTAGTCCATGATTTTGATAATACTGGCCTAATCTCCCTTTGGTTTTGATCGCATGTCAGTTAAAAATAAGAAGATACCGCTATTAATCTTGCAGGACTACTATAAAGATAAAGTAATATGGTCAATATATACAAACATTATAACAAAAGCATCATTAAAAAGTTTGACAATAAAATCATCAGAGTTCTGTATGTATTGCAGTGTTTAGGTGGTGTGTGGTAAATGAAGCCGTAGCCCAAGTAAGATAGAAACCCCAAAACTCTGAATAGCTATTTGTTCAATGAGTATGAGCCAGAATACAAAGAACGCAGTACAATTCTGTTAATAAATAAAACCTTTCCATGGTATACCATTAAAACTGAATCATCTATACAAGGTAGGTCAAACTAAGGTTGCTTACGCAGTCCTAGTTCTGGCACTTCTTAAGCTCCGAACACTTGAGTTTACAATCGGAACGCTCCTTGAGATCTGCCAAGTCTACCACTTCTGACAGGAGATCCTTGCTGGTGCCACTGCCCTTCAGCTTTACGGGTAATTTCCCATCTCACACCTGAAGTGGCAATCTATCAAATTTCCGAGTGTCTGGAATTCCTGGACAAATGACCACTCTGCACACACCAAACACCACCCTACTAAAGGCACAGAAGAGCTGGTACATCCAAATAATCCACAAACAATGTATTCTGCACCCAAGTGACAAATACGTGAGCTTGGGACGTGTGGCTTACACATAGCTGGTTTTCACACGATATACACAGAATCTACCAATTTTGACCCTTGAGATATTGGAAGGTTCATTTTGAATACACTTTTGTATTTATTTTAAAATAAAGTGTACTTAAAAATAATTCTTTTTATTGTAATAAGCCATTATTACCAGGCCTACTGCATAAAATCTATACCAACATCCGCCTTGTAAACTGGGAAATGCAAAGGGAAAACCACCAGCTAAATGTTTAGCTATCAGAAGTGACTGTCGATCTGGGCAGGCTGCTCTCAATAGCAATCTCTCGATCTTTATGCATGTCTAAAACCCTACTCATGTCAGTGAGAATTCTTCCTGATTTCAAGATGATGTTGTGTATAAGGTATACTTCCTAGATTTAACTATTCTACTACAAAACAACAATAAGCAATTGTTAAGTAAAACAGTTGAAGTAGAGTACATCCACTGGCTACACAGAGAATCTGTGTTTTCAAATAAACTGGAAGGAATTTATAAATATAGAGATTGAGGATAAAGACAACATGCTCCTCCAAGAAATTAAACAATGAATGATTCTGAGTTTCCCTAAAATAAGGTAATAAATATTAGCGTAGTATTCGAAATACAAACAACATTGAGAAAAAACTTTCCAAATTAGCGTAAATACAAGCTACTATCCAGTATGATTACCAGCACAGTCTGGATAGTAAGAACAGGAAAATGTTTCCTTACCAAACCAGATGCTATACCAAAACAGAGAAAAGCACCACTGTGCATATAATTCAAAGGTCATGTGCTTCTTCAGTAAACAAGAAAAAACCCCAGAAGTTTAAAAATGAACACGCTCCCATATTGTTTCACTTATTTGCCAGAATTCTTGGAACCAGAACATAGCTTCTATCAAAGACATTGAAAATTACAAAAAATGAGATTGTCCAATGCACTATTTATAGAAATAAGCCTCTAATGGTGGCGAGTGCTTCAAATTGACTCCACATTACAACTGATTGCCTTCTAAAAGCTGGTGCAAATATCTAGAAATTGCACTGAAGAATATGTAACAGAGATTTTATATTCAAGGTGCTGAAATGACATTTCAAGCATTGTTTGAAACTGCAGGTGCCCACTGAAGTAAAGAACTTTCTCTTAATTATTACCACAAATGCTTTCAGACTAAACAAGAACCCAGACAGATTTAAAAATGATGCATCATGTTTTAAAACAGTGTAGCTGAGTTTGTTACCTTTAAAAATTTTCTATGCCGTCACTACAAGCCTTCTCTCTAAAGTCTAGATGCGATTAATGAATGTTTAAACGTGACATTTGTTTCTTCTAATTTTTATAAGCGAAAAACATTGTCTTTGCTCGATTCATAAATTTGTTCCTTCTTTCCTACCTAGAGCCATAGCTTTACTCCTACTCCTTGCCCTGTCCTTCTCTGGAAGGACATGATTAAAATAAATCATTTGTGTAAATCAGCAGATACCTTAGATATACTCTATACAGCTTTGGTGTCTACAATCGCAGAATCATAGAATATCCTGAACTGGAAGAAACCGATGAGGATTGAGTCCAACTCCTGACTCCACACAGGGCAACCTAAAAGTTAAACCACATATCTAAGAGCATTGTCCAAACACTTCTTGAACACCGACAGGCTCGAGGCCATGACTGCTTCCCTGAGGAGCACTTTAAGGCCTGGTGAAAAAAATGAAGAAAATGTAAAAATAGTAACAATTTCTATTAAAGCACTGAAGGAATTAGGATGTAGGAACAAGCTTACTGGATACTGTGCAAGTGAAGACCAAATACTATTGTTGTACTGAACATTAATTATATAGTGTTCAAGTTTCATTAGAGAAAAGAATCTAGTCATTTGTATTCTTACCACGGCAGAATTGTATTATTTGCCCTCCATATCTGTTGATCAGAAATTACTCATTTGCTGAGTAACTGCATGTTAGAACTTTGTCATTTACCTCTGAGCTTGCACCCCAAGCACAACCAAGTCCATAACAAAAACTCAAACCAATATTCTAGTTGAGTCTGTGTAGCTACAGACAGGAAGACTGCTCTCTCTGCACTTTACATTGTTTTCTGTATCACCAATTTGGTCAGCTTTCCATCAGCAATCCACTATCTCTGATGGCACTGCCAAAGTAGAAAGGGGAAAAAGCTTGTTCAGAAAGTTTACGACATGATACATTCTTTGCAAGTCACCTGTCAAAAGCATTTTTTGAAGATTTTATATGGAACAGAAGACAAGGTTTGTGATATACCATTACAGAACCCCGTGCTAAATATAATTATTTAATTATTTTAAAATATATTCTCACACTATATATTTTCTTCAAAAATATATCTGTGCACTTGTTTCTTGCTAAATAAAATCCAAAGCTATCTGGATGCACGTAAAATAGAAAACATTTGAACTCTATTTACAAGACTTGAATTAGAAGATCCAAAAATGACTTTAGAATTTAAAACATCTGGCACAGATATCCACCTTCCTTTGTAGTTTAACTCTTTCACCAAACATTTGATTGTCCCTTAGATTGCTCTGGACATAAAATGACATTT